GGCGCGCCGGCGCCGCCAGAGCGGCCCGGCCCGGCTCGGCTCGCCGGCGGTGTCCAGTATCGAGCCGGCCCGGCCGGAGACACGCCAGCCGACCGCGCCGTCGACGGCGCTGAGCAGGCCGGCAGACTGCGGACGGCCGAGGCGCGCCTCGTCCGGACTCTGCCGGGACCAGCACCTGGTCCGGCCAGGAGCGCAGCGCGCCACGCTCGGGCCGAACCGGAGCCGGCCGCAGCGGACCTCCGACGGGTCCGGGAGGGCCAGCCAGCCGGCCTGTCAGCTCGGAGCGTTCTCCGGCAGGGTGTCAGACGCCGGCGACGCGGCGGGGTCCGCCCGGGGCCGGCCGCCGCCACCGCCGCTGCCGCCCGGCGCGGGATGGGTCTCTCAGGCCTGTCGGCCGAGTTCGTCGACTGCCTGAGCTCGCACGAGCTGAGCCCAGAGCCGGCTCGGGTGTGGGTGTTCGGCTACGGCTCGCTCTGCTGGCGGCCCGGCTTCCCGTACTCGGAGAGGCGGATCGGCCACGTGGAGGGCTACATGCGCCGCTTCTGGCAGGGTAGCGTCACCCATCGTGGCACGCGCGACAAGGTGAGGTGCCGCGCCGGCCGGTCACGCCGGGACCCGCGCTTCAGGCAGCTGCGCCGCTTGGCTAACGAGTAAGCTTGCCGGGTGCACGGATCGCTATAAAACAGCAGCAATGCCAGCAGCACTGCTAATGACTGAGGTGGTGGCCGACCCAGGTGCAGCACCAGGATAGGTCGAACCACCTGCTCCTCGCGTGGACGACATGCCACACGCCATATGAGGCGTCGTGTCCCGGATCTCGTGGGTGCAAATCAGAGCAGCTCGTTCAGTCGCACAAGTTGCGTGTGGTGAATCGAACGAGCCAGTGTATTAATTACACTCGGTGCTGTGCTGGTCTGAGCTTGGTCTAAATGAGCATTCACAGCCAACCTAGGTTGGTTGCGGAGCAGGTTAGGGGACCATGACCCGTCCCGCATAGGACAGACCATGGGATCATGACCCGTCCTGCATAGGACAGACCATGGGATCATGACCCGTCCTGCATAGGACAGACCAAGGGATCATGACCCGTCCCGCGTAGGACAGACCATGGGATCATGGCCTGTCCCGCATAGGACAGACCATGTGATCATGGCCCGTCCCGCATAGTACAGACCATGGGATCATGGCCCGTCCCGCATAGTACAGACCACGGGATCATGGCCCGTCCCGCATAGGACAGACCATGGGATCATGGCCCGTCCCGCATAGGACAGACCATGGGATCATGACCCGTCCCGCATAGGTCAGACCACGACCCGGCCCTGTCTTTCTGGCGGCCGGGTGGTGATGATGATGCTGACGAACAAACGAATGGCATGTATTATTTATCTGTTACGATATGTACGCATTATTCCTAGTGATGTCACATGACCTTTTGGTTACAGCTCTTTTGGATAGGGTGCCTTAAGGCAGAGGCATTGAAGATTTTAAATGTGTAGACATATGTAAAGGCCTTCTTGACTAGGGTACCCTATCCAAAAGAGCTGTAACCAAAAGGTCATGTGACATCACTAGGAATAATGCGTACATATCGTAACAGATAAATAATACATGCCATTCGTTTGTTCGTCAGCATCATCATCACCACCCGGCCGCCAGAAAGACAGGGCCGGGGTCGTGGTCTGACCTATGCGGGACGGGTCATGATCCCATGGTCTGTCCTATGCGGGACGGGCCATGATCCCATGGTCTGTCCTATGCGGGACGGGCCATGATCCCGTGGTCTGTACTATGCGGGACGGGCCATGATCCCATGGTCTGTACTATGCGGGACGGGCCATGATCACATGGTCTGTCCTATGCGGGACAGGCCATGATCCCATGGTCTGTCCTACGCGGGACGGGTCATGATCCCTTGGTCTGTCCTATGCAGGACGGGTCATGATCCCATGGTCTGTCCTATGCAGGACGGGTCATGATCCCATGGTCTGTCCTATGCGGGACGGGTCATGGTCCCCTAACCTGCTCCGCAACCAACCTAGGTTGGCTGTGAATGCTCATTTAGACCAAGCTCAGACCAGCACAGCACCGAGTGTAATTAATACACTGGCTCGTTCGATTCACCACACGCAACTTGTGCGACTGAACGAGCTGCTCTGATTTGCACCCACGAGATCCGGGACACGACGCCTCATATGGCGTGTGGCATGTCGTCCACGCGAGGAGCAGGTGGTTCGACCTATCCTGGTGCTGCACCTGGGTCGGCCACCACCTCAGTCATTAGCAGTGCTGCTGGCATTGCTGCTGTTTTGATAGCGATCCGTGCACCCGGCAAGCTTACTCGTTAGCCAAGCGGCGCAGCTGCCTGAAGCGCGGGTCCCGGCGTGACCGGCCGGCGCGGCACCTCACCTTGTCGCGCGTGCCACGATGGGTGACGCTACCCTGCCAGAAGCGGCGCATGTAGCCCTCCACGTGGCCGATCCGCCTCTCCGAGTACGGGAAGCCGGGCCGCCAGCAGAGCGAGCCGTAGCCGAACACCCACACCCGAGCCGGCTCTGGGCTCAGCTCGTGCGAGCTCAGGCAGTCGACGAACTCGGCCGACAGGCCTGAGAGACCCATCCCGCGCCGGGCGGCAGCGGCGGTGGCGGCGGCCGGCCCCGGGCGGACCCCGCCGCGTCGCCGGCGTCTGACACCCTGCCGGAGAACGCTCCGAGCTGACAGGCCGGCTGGCTGGCCCTCCCGGACCCGTCGGAGGTCCGCTGCGGCCGGCTCCGGTTCGGCCCGAGCGTGGCGCGCTGCGCTCCTGGCCGGACCAGGTGCTGGTCCCGGCAGAGTCCGGACGAGGCGCGCCTCGGCCGTCCGCAGTCTGCCGGCCTGCTCAGCGCCGTCGACGGCGCGGTCGGCTGGCGTGTCTCCGGCCGGGCCGGCTCGATACTGGACACCGCCGGCGAGCCGAGCCGGGCCGGGCCGCTCTGGCGGCGCCGGCGCGCCTCGATCAATCGCGGCCGTCACTGGCGCCGGCGCCACGGCGAGTTAGACGGGTCATCCCGACACGGATACCAGGGGCACTCGAACAAACTCGAGGACGGATCCCAGATGAGGTATGGGGAGTGGTTTGCACTGCAGACTCCCACGGGGGACGGGGCAGGTTCGAATCCAGGTCGCGCCATTCCGGTGATCCACAAGAAGGGGCGTAATAGCGTGCATCGCCCCCCCCCCCCCCCAAAGGAACAGATATCAAGGCGTCCGAAGAAAGATACCAGGCGTACCCCCAGACGCGTTATATAGATAGAATATATATATATATATATATATATATATATATATATACATATGCTATATATTGGTAAGCACGCAACGCCCGGACCACGCTATACCGGACATGCATGAACCACGCTGACCCGGGCAGGCGTGAACCACGTTACCCTGGACAGGCATGAACCACGCTATCCCGGACATACATGAACCACGCTGACCCGGGCAGGCACAAACCATGTTATCCTGGACAGGCATGAACCACGCTGTCCAGGACAGGCATGCACCGTCCGAACGACGCTGTGCCTAACAGGCACATGACGTTCCATCCACGCTATGCCCGATAGGCACGTCCGAACCAAGCTATCGCGTACAGCTATGCACCGTCCGAACCGCGATGTGCCCAACAGGCATGGAACGTCCGAACCATGCTGTTCTGAACAGGCATGTAACGTCCGAACCATGCTGTTCTGAACAGGCATGTAACGTCCGAACCATGCTGTTCTGAACAGGCATGTAACGTCCGAACCATGCTGTTCTGAACAGGCATGTAACGTCCGAACCATGCTGTTCTGAACAGGCATGGAACGTCCGAACCATGCTGTTCTGAACAGGCATGTAACGTCCGAACCGCAATGCACCGACAGGCATGTAACGTCCGAAACACGCTGTCCCAGACAGGCATGTAACGTCCAAACTACACTGTCCCGGACAGGCGCACCGTGTGAGGACATATTTTGAAAAGTCACGGGTTGCCAAAGACTTGTTGCTTGGGGAGCCCTGTAATGTAGCAGAACCTTAATGCTCGCCAGAATATGCCTCGAGACTGGTTGTAGCTTTTTCCCGCGGAAGTGCCCTGCTTAAAATGTACTCCACCCTTACGCAACTATCTCCGTCTCCCTCTTGCAGCCGCCGAACACCTCTCCAGCCATGGGACTCGCACTAACTGTGGAATCGCTCCCAGTGGAAATGATTCCACTACGGCGCAGCTTCTACCAGTCTGCGCGGCGGCACCGGCTTAAATGCACACTTTTGGATTTAAAGGAAGGTGTCACATTTGACGATATTGAGGCAAACATCAGATATGACAACACAAACTTATTAAAACTATCAGCATGCTTTTAAGTGGAAAAGAATGCTCCAGACAACACCATTTCTCTGTGAGCACATACGCTCCCCGCCTCGTCATCGTTTGATTATGTCTTCGTATCTTGCACAACATTGAGAGCTAGTTGACGGCCGTTATATCTGGAGATTGTGCTCGGGAACGCCAAATATGAACGACTCGACCATCGTATTCTTATTGGCCCTGATCGCCGCATGGCTTAAGGAATGACAGGATTTACATGATGTGCTTGTCATGGATGCCAAGGTGACCTTGAAACACTCCCGAAATAGTCTTCCCATCTTCGCGGGCGTGTAGTTCAGAACTAGAGGGGTTCAGATCTTAAGAAGGGTAGGACTGTGAACTGCGCAGAATGATCTTCAAAATGGCTGTTTCGGTCCAAAACTCCATGGAGATGTGGAACACCCCGTTTAACAGCATTTTCCAGCGATCCACCTGTTCATCTTCACACCAAGCGCACCAAGACAGACCTAAGCCAGAGGCACAAAGCACAGCATACTTTCAACGTCAAAACTAGCTCACAAAACCTCGCCAAACTCGAAGTTGGTGCAGACTTCAGAACTTCCTATGCATGATTGTAGGCATTGTGCGTGATCTTGGTTTCATTTCTGGAGAATCTATCGCGAAGTGTGTTTGTAAAAGTTGCCGTCCGTTAGCATACCGTGGACCTGCTCCCAGGGTCCAATGCACCACCGTCCACACTGGTCATGCGCCAGGAAGTCATTGCCGCTTCCACAGTACAGGAAGAGTGTAGCAATCGCTCTGCCATGCTGTGCTGTGGCAATGCATCCTATCACCACCTGGCCGGCATTAATTGTTAAAATCGCGTTTTAAAACGGTTTATTGGCGAACCGCATCGAGCGCACCGACAACATAAGGTGGGCGTCAGTCCAAGACAAGCCAGTCCAAAACGTAACATCACAAGCTCACCAACGCGTCTCACAATGCACCTGCGCACCCGACCGAGCGCCCCTAAAGCGGCGTATCACCTCCCACCACAGGAGCCTGGCCAGCCGGCAGGCGGCGGGCGGCCGCAGCCGCGCCGCCGACACCGGCAGCCCCACGGCCGACGCGGTGGGACGAGCCGCGCACCGCCGGCGGCCCCGGCGGCGCGGCAGCCCGCCACTACCGGTCGGCGGCCGTCACCAGCTCGAACCACTGGCGCAGCGCGTCGCTGAGCACGGCCGGCAGCGAGCCGATGTTGCGCAGAATCAAGTAGAATGGGAACGGGAAGCTGTCCATGTAGGAGCGCAGGCCCAGCAGCTGGCCGTCGCCGCCGAACTGCGGTACGCGGATGTCCAGCACGCTGTCCTTGTTCTGCGGGTTGTCGACCACGATGAAGACGAGGAAAAGGCCGGCCTGGCGGGCGCGACGCACGGCGCGGCGCACCGTCTCCTGGCCCTCGTGGAAGAGGCCGCGCCCGTCCGACACCACCAGCAGCAGCTGGGCGGCGCGCCGGCCGCCGCCGCCGGCCAGCAGCGCCACCGCGCTGTCCAGCATGGCTGCCACGCGCGTCTGCGTCTGCGCGAAGGTGAAGCGTCGCAGGAGGGCGGCGCCGGCGGCGGCGCCCGGCGGCTCGTGCAGGCCGTGTAGAAGACACGTCCGCTCACCGAAGCTGAGCACCGCCAGCTGACCCACCTCCAGCAGCGCCAGCGCCCGGCTGACCAGCGCCAGCGACTCGAAAGCCAGCTGGCGGGAGTGGTTGTCGGCCATGGAGGACGAGTCATCGACGGCCACCACCACCTGGTAGTCGCGCTTGGACGGCTTTGTGCGCCGCAGCCAGATCTTGTCTTTGCGGAACTGGGAGGCGATGTAGGGGATCACCTGCGGGAGCGGAGGCGGCGGACTCAGGCGGGCGGCGCACGGCGGCCGGAGAGGCCAGGCGCGTCACAGCACGCAGCTACAGGAACGCATAACTCCGCCGGCTTTTTGGCGCGGCCGGCAAGCCACCGAGCCTGTTCTCATAAGACACATTGGTCCTGCTATTCCTTCCTTACCTGCTATCCTTTCATTATCCTAGGTAACCTCTTTAACGATTCATTACAGTGAATCCACGAGGTCACGTAGCAGGCGGACGCACCAGGCGCAAGTGGAACGCAGGCAACTGACACCAAAACTCAGAACACCTGTCGCATGTTGAACAAGTCTGCCCACCGGACAAACAGCCGCGTATTTATCCGAACTCTCACCAACAGAACACTATGGATTAAATGACACTCAGGCTCGCGGACGTTGCGCCAACCCAACACAGCTGTCCAGCCCATCACGCAGACCACCAGCGCCTCCCACCCTCAACCCCTCCCACGCCAGTAGTGTCCGCCCCTATTCCGCCTGCTCTCCGTCGTCACCTTGCGCATGTTGAGTCGCCTGCCGGTGCGGTAGTCGCCCATGAGCTTGGCCGTCTGCGTGGGCTCGAGGACGAGCCGCAGCTGCTCGCACAGTTCTTGTGCCAGCGGGCTGATGACCGTCTCATACTGCTGCCAGAGCCGCTCCGCCTCCACTTCGTCGAGCGAGGCCGGGTCCTGCGGGGGCCGGCGGCGTCAGCAGTCAGGCAAGGCCAGAGCCGCCGCTGGACACGGACGCCGCAGCTGCCGACAGAGGCAGGTGGGCGGCACACCCTTGGAGGATAGATACATCGTGCGGGGTGGTGAGATACACAACGTGGGCTGCCGAAGCGTCAGCGATGTACCGAGCCGCTCGTGCCATCCTTGGTCAGCTGACCAGGTCCGAGGCTGATGTTAAGTGCCGCCGTCTGCGTCAGACGGCGGCACGGCAGACAGCGCCACGTTAGAGAACGTGCTCACCTGCTGCCACAAGTCCAGCCGGCTCTCCAGCTCACGCCGCAGTTCGTCCACGTCGAGCGGCGCGTCCGGTCCGGCCGGCTCGTCCTCGGCCGTCGGCAGAGCCGTGTGCGCCGCCGACTCGGCTGGCCGCTGCGCCGACGACGTCAGTACCTGCTCCCCGTCCACCTCACCCTTCTCCGGGCCGGCCGCCTGCTCCGCCGACCCGTCAACCTCCTGAAGGGTCAGATCAGGTCAGGTCAGGTCAGGTCAGGTCAGGTCAGATCAGATCAGATCAGTACCTGCTCCCCGTCTACCTCACCCCTATCGGGACCGGCAGCCTCCTCCGCCGACCCGTCACCCTCCTGAGGGGTCAGATCAGGTCCGGTCATATCAGGTCAGGTCAGATCAGATCAGTACCTACTCCCCGTCTACCTCACCCCTATCACGGCCGGCTGCCTCCTCCGCCGACCCATCACCCTCCTGAGGGGTCAGATCAGGTCCGGTCAGATCAGGTCAGGTCAGATCAGATCAGATCAGTACCTTTTCCCCGTCCACCTCACCTCCCTCCGGGCCGACCGCCTCCTCTGCCGACCCGTAATCCTCCTGAGGGGTCAGATCTGGTCAGGTCAAGTCAGCACCTGCTCCACGTCTACCTCACCCCTATCGGGACCTGCCGCCTCCTCCGCCAACTTGTCATCTCCTGACGGGTCAGGTCAGGTCAGGTCAGCATCTGCTCCCCGTCCACCTCACCCCTCTCCGGACCAGCTGCCTCCTCCACCGACCCTTCACCCTCCTGCGGGAGGGCCACTTGAGCTTAAACTACAGAGCTCGTTCCTGACACCTCCAGGTCGTGGTTGTGCGCAGCTTCAACACGGCAGTCATCGAACCGGGTGCAACACTGGTCAAACACCTGATGACAACGTCCGCCTTACTCCTCTCATCTCACAGAGCTAATATGAAGTACATGGTTCAAAACTAAATGTCCGTGGAATAATACGCCAAATGCAAACACGAACAAATGTAACTGCATGCCTCTCAATGCCAGTCACCCCTACAAAATCGAAATGGCATTATACGGCATACACAGGGAAGGTCATAAATACTTGCCGCGCCTGGACGGGACCCTCTGCCTCAGCGGGTGCTCAGTCGGCTGCCCCGGGCGCCGTACCTTGTCGTCACGTGGCCGCCGCTTGTCTGACAGCCTGTCGGGCCGGACCTTCTCCAGCGAGGACGGGTCGTCCTTCTCTGGCGGGGCGTCCTCCATGTGCACGTCCTCGTCCTCGGCCGGCGGCGGCGCCTCTTCGTCCTCCTGCTCGGCCGGCACCGGCCGCTCCAGGGCCTGCTCCTGAGAGAGGCACGCGCGGGCTCGTCAGAGGGGCAAGTGCGGGGTTGTCACAGGGGCACGTGCCGGGTTGTCAGAGGGGCACGTGCGGACTTGTCAGAGGGGCACGCATGGGCTTATTCAGAGGGGCACGCAAGTCTTGTCAGATGGGCACGCACGGGCTCGTCAGAGGGGCACGCGCGGGCTTGTCAGAGGGGCACGCGCGGGCCTGTCAGAGGAGCACACGCGGGCTTGTCGTCCCCCAGGTGTCCATCAGCCCCGGCAGAGTCGGCCGCTGCAAGAGTCGGCTGGGATGGGGGCAGCCATCAGACATCAGTTTACGGGAGGCCGCGGAAGCAGACGCCCGGCACGTCAGAGCGGGCCTCACAGCGGAGCCAACGCCCCCGGCCTCCGCTACTCCTCTATCTACCGGCCAGCTCTACGAGACAACGGGGAGGCTTCCCGCGGTGGACGACGGGACAGCCCGGCGCCCCGGTCCCACGTGGCCCGCCGGCGGCCGGGCGGCAGCGCGTGCCTAACACGTGCCTGGGTGGCGGCGTCGGCGGTGAGCGCGTCGTGCCGTTGCTCGGACTCTTGGATGTGCTGGAACACGTCGGCGGGCGCCGGCGGCCGGTCCGGCTCGCCCTCGGCGGCGGTCGGCTCCAGGTCGGCGTCCACCGTCTTGAGCCGCTTCTCCAACGGCTGGTGGTCCGGACCTGCGGCGGAGGGCGCCCAGCACACTGTCAGCGGGTTCCGGCCGAGACGGCCGCCGGCGCCGGGACACACGGCACACACGGCCGGGCCAGAGCAAAACCAAGGGCACCAGGGAACTCAGGTGTCAGCCAACACACGAGATGGAGGTACCACAGATGGTGGAACAAAACTGACTGGAAATGTCACGAGGCAGAACCCCTTAACAGGATGCATTGCGTTGGGTACATCACTTCACGCACATTGCACAAAGAACATATATTCGGAGTACCTCACAGCTTCCAAGCATGTCACCCATCAAGCTCGAGTCCATGAGACGACGGAACCGCCGTGAACCAGAGGCGTCGTCACATTGAGTCGGTCGGCGTGGTGACGTCACAGTTACCGTGACCGCGTGCTGACGTCGCAGTAAGAGGATCGGTGTGGTGACGTCACAGTGACCGAGACCGCGTGCTGACGCCACAGTGAGCGGGTCAGTGTGGTGACGTCACAATGACCGTGACCGCGCGCTGATGTCACAATGAGCGGGCCAGTTTGGTGACGTCACAGTGACCGTGACCGCATTCTGACGTCACCTTGAGCATGTCGGCGTGGTGACGTCACTCTCAGCCGCCGCCGCCGCCCGCGACTCACCGAGGCTGCGCTTGCTGTCGGAGGTGCCGGGTCGGCGCTGCTCGGCGCGCTCCGTCCGCGGCGGCCGCGTCGACTCGGGCCGGCTCATCCGTGACGCGTCCGCCGCCTGGTGGCCGCTGCTCGAGCTCTCCGCCATGCCGACGCCGTACTTGTCGTCGGTCTGCTCGGCGCGGTTGCCGACCTCCTCGGGCCGCTCCTCGGCCGCTGTCTGCTGCGGACGGTCCAGCTCGTCCTGCGCGGCAGTCCGAGCCGGCAGAGTCAGTCTCGGGACGGCCGGTCGGCACGCCGGTGATGACGCAACACGTCGGTCCGCCACGCCGAGCCATCGCTGGAGTGGCGACGGCACGCGGCTCCGTGCACCCGCCCTGCGCGCTGGACAGCGCTGGTCGTGATTAGGGTGGAGGGAGTAACGTGCTGACAGGCAGCTCGAAATGGGCAAAGGTGAGCGCGGATAAGCGCTCACGCTGCAAGCGACCGTACGTCAAACACCAAAATCATTACACATTCGGCTCACTGCACTCTCTTCCAAACGCACACACTCGGACACGGGGCGTACAAACGGCTATGCGCTAGCTGTCGTGTCAGCAGAGGAGCAGCCGGTGGCAGCGGTGTATCTGCCCGGCCGGCGTCGCAACGCCCGCCCGTCGCCGCTCCGGCGGCAGCCAACTGACCTGCGTGCCGCGCGCCGCATCCTCCCGCGCCGCCTGTGCCGCCTGCTCGCTGGCGTCCAGTCGGGACGGCTGGTGCTCCTGCGCCGCCTCCTCCGCCTCCTGCTCCTCCTCTTCCGCCCGCTCGTCCGAGCCGCGCTGTCGCTCCTCCCGCCCCGTGTCCTCCTCCTCCTCCGTCTCTGCGTCTTCCTCTGCCTCCTCCTCGGCGGCGACCGGCTGCTGCTCCTCGCGCGCCTGTTCCTGCTCCTCCCCGTCCTGCTTATCCTGCTGGTCCTGGTCATCGCCGTCGGCGAAGTCGGCGCGCTCCTCGATGTCCCAGGGGTTGTCCTGCGGCTCACCACCCTCCGAGTGGCTGTCAGAGCCGCGCTCCGAGTCGGCGCCATCGCGCTCGGGCAGCTCCAGCTCCTCCGGCTCGGCGTCCGGCGCGAAGTTGTCTGCGGCAGCGACAGCGTCACAAGGCCGCCGACGGCGTCGCCGGCCGCTCATTTCTCAGCCGGGGCAAAGATCCCGGGGCCTACAGTGAGACGATGGTCTACAACAGACATTTGTTGTCAAACGCACGGCAACTCACTGCGAGCAGAACGCACAATGGTTCCGAGTACAATATAAGGAAACGATTATGTTAGGAGAACCTTGCGATTTTATTCTGATACCCTCATGTTCGGACAAAGTGAATTATACAAAAGCCGCAGGCTGCGGCAGAAATGGAGCTCTGCCTAAGGAACCTTGAAATATTTTTGCGCCTGTCGCCCCCCCCCCCCCCCTCCTCGGCTCTCTCTCTCTCTCTCTCTCTCTCTCTCTCTCTCTCGCTCTCTCTCTCTCTCTTTGACACTCACTGTGGTAGGGGTCGGCCTGCTGGTCCTCGTCCTCCTCCATCTCGTTCTCCTTCATCTCCTGGCGCTTGCGTTCCTCCTTCGGTGCACCATCCGCTTCCTCGCGCTCCTTGTCCTCTTTGGCCACCAGCCGGGCGTCCTCGCGGCCCTGGCCGCCGTCCTGCTGGTCCTCATCCTCGGCCGTCTGTTGCTCTTCGTCCTCGTCGTCGCTGCCCCACAGCTGACCCAGGGGGAGGGGTGAGACGTAACACGCCCGGCGTTGGAGGTGCCCGAGGCCAGCGACGCATCAGGTGTCCAGCATGTTTAGACAACACCGAAGCGAGCGGCGCCAGCACAGGACTAGACACGATCAACAGCATGGGACCTCAACTGAAGATATTGTGTACCGAAATCGGCCTACATCGGTTGTCATGTCCAGAGGCACGCAGTTGGACATCACTCGGCAATCGACTTGATTTGCGCCCGACTTTTTCGACAGGCGCTCTGCAGAGAACACGCGAGTGGCGCGCCGGGACTCAGCGCGCGCCCCAGCGCTCTCAACAGGGATCCTGACCTGACCTGGCTAGGCCAGACCCTGCTCTCACCTTCTCACCGAGTCTCTCCTGGTACCTGACCTGGTTAGGCCAGACCCCGCTCTCACCTTCTCACCGAGTCTCTCCTGGTACCTGACCTGGCTAGGCCAAACCCTGCTCTCACCTTCTCGTCGAGTCCCTCCTGGTACCTGACCTGGCTAGGCCAAACCCTGCTCTCACCTTCTCACCGAGTCTCTCCTGGTACCTGACCTGGTTAGGCCAGACCCCGCTCTCACCTTCTCACCGAGTCTCTCCTGGTACCTGACCTGGCTAGGCCAAACCCTGCTCTCACCTTCTCGTCGAGTCCCTCCTGGTACCTGACCTGGCTAGGCCAAACCCTGCTCTCACCTTCTCGTCGAGTCTCTACTGGTACCTGACCTGGCCTAGGCCAGACCCCGCTCTCACCTTCTCGTCGAGTCTCTACTGGTACCTGAACTGGCTAGGCCAAACCCTGCTCTCACCTTCTCACCGAGTCTCTCCTGGTACCTGACCTGGCTAGGCCAAACCCTGCTCTCACCTTCTCATCGAGTCTCTCCTGGTACCTGACCTGGCTAGGCCAAACCCTGCTCTCACCTTCTCGTCGAGTCTCTACTGGTACCTGAACTGGCTAGGCCAAACCCTGCTCTCACCTTCTCGTCGAGTCTCTACTGGTACCTGAACTGGCTAGGCCAGACCCCGCTCTCACCTTCTCGTCGAGTCTCTCCTGGTCCTCCCCGTCGACCTCGCCCATCTGCTTGTCCGGCTCCTCGTCCCCCTCATGGTCACTCTCGTCACTGTCGTCGTCGCCCTCCTTCTTCTCGACGTCCTGCATCTTACCGCCAAAGTCCTCGGACATCTCCACACCTTGCTCCTCCTCCTGCACGAACGGAACGGTCAGAGCCGTCCACGGCATTTCCGCCTCCAGACAACGCAATAGGCACTGGCCGCGTAAAAAGACGAAACAACTCAGTCATTGTGGCAACGAAAATGCACAATGTTCGAATCATGTACGCCACACGCCTACGCAACCCAAAATCGTCAGGTTACTGTTGAGAGTTCAAACATTTCTGATACTGCGGCACGATGACGTCGCCCCCCCTCGAAGTTCCCTTGATCACGCGCCAGAGACGGTAGGCCACGGCCACCGCCGCGGACTAACCTTGACGTCCTCATTGGCGTCCTCAGGCTGCTCGCCTGGCTTGTAGGCGCCCTCCAGCTGGTCCTCCGACTCCAGCTTGTCCGAGACGTCCTTGGAGCCCTCGCCTTCGCCCAGGCCGCCGTCCTGGATGTCCTTGAACTCGGTGCCCGCCTCCGAGTCATCCGGCTCGTCCTGCATGTCTTCGGGCGTGCAGAAGCCCTGGCGGCAGCGGCGGCGTGTCATCTCCGAGCCCAGAGCGTCATCACACACCACGGTCTCGGCCCCCCCCCCCCCCCCCCCCCAACCGGCCGCGCCGTTCGCTGCGGCTCGACAGGACGGCTCCGGCCACGCCTCACATGCGGGATGCGGGCCCCGGCCTCACAGGCGCCGGCTGATGGGCGATCACTCCGAGTGTCTCGCCTCAGTCGCCGGGACCTTCAGCCCGGACTGCTGAGCCTCATACGCCGCCCAACCCCCCGCGCCACTCACCTTCTGCGCCATGATCGTGAACAGCTTGAGCAGCACAGTGAGCAGCTTGGTCGCCGACCGGTACGCGGCCATCTGGTGAACCAGCACGAACGTGCACAGGTGGTGGTACTGGTTCAGCAGCGGCACCAGCTGGGACAGCAGCCTACAACAGCGCCGGCCGCAGCGTCAGCGGTCGGCAGGCCGACGCACGACACTGCAATATACTTCAAACAGCAAGGAGCAGCAGTTTGTTTTCACCATGAACCCCGCACTGACTGCACTCAACGAAACAGAATCAGCAGGCCAGAGTCGAGAACAGGTGTCCCGAGTCGGTGCTCACGTGATCATGCGGGCGGCCTGCTCGTCGCTGATGTCGGCGCCGACCAGCGGCCGGCAAACGGCCGCCAGACTGCTGACCACGCGCCTCGCGTCCAGACCGGCGACGGCGCGCTGCAAACTCTCATCAATCCGGACACCCAGCAGACCCTGCTGCGGATCGCCCGGTAGCAGCGCGGCGTCCAGCTCCTCTTGCGCACGGTACAGCCGCTGCACGGCCAGCAGCAGGCGACTGGTTAGCCGGCCGGCGGCCGACACGAACCGAGCCTCGGCGTCGGCCGGCGGCGGCGCGGCGCCAGCGGCCGAGCCCTCCACACCGCCGGCCGGGCCCAGCGCCGCCTCCGCCTCTAGCAGCGCTGCCGACACCGGGTCGGTGCCGTCGACGCGGCCCAGCGCGGCACGCACCAGCGCCAGCGTGTCGCGTGTCTGCGCCAGCTCGCCGTGGGCCTCCTCCAGGCGACTGACATCGTCGCGCGTCCACAACAGCGGCGCGCACCAGCGGCGGGCACCGGCGCGGCGCAAGCGGCGACGGGCGGCGCGCGTCCGCGCCAGCGCCGCGTCCACCTGGATGAGCAGCGGCGCGTGCTCGGCGGCGGCGCGGCCCCGTTCGCGCAGCTCGGAGCAGGGGGCTCCACTGAGGCGCAGCGCGTCGGCGGCCGCCGCCGGCTGGCCGTCCGGCGCCGCGTGCAGGTACAGCCGCAGCCGGGCCAGCAGCGCCAGGTACCGGCCACTGACGGCCAACAGGTGCGCCTGCCGACACAGCCGTGCTGCGTCACGGCTCCGGACGGGGACCGGGGGCGGACGACGCCGGAGTCAGAGTCAGAGTCATGGGCGGCGCGACCAGTGACAGAGAACACGCCGCACGCGGCAACAGCCGCTCACGAGCCGTACAAAGCATGCCGAAATTCCAGCCTGATGAACACGCAGCCAGAACCAGCGCGGCCTCAAACAAACACTCACATGACCAGGACATCTGACATAGACAATGCAGCAAGCGGGCGGCTGGCGCCCGCCCCAGTCCCTGCAGTTCCGCCTGAGCGGTGGTCGCCATCAGCACAGCCGCCGGACCGCTCACGCCGCGGCCGGAGCCCCGCTGACCGGCGCGAGCCCGTACCTCTGTGGCGCGGTAGCGGCGCTGCTCGGTCGCGTGTCGGCTGGGGTGCGGCTGGCACGTGAGGCCGGTCACCTCCTCCAGCAGCGATGAAAGCCGGCTCACGTGCTGCTCCGTGGCAGCCAGGCTGACCCGAGTCGATCCCACCAGCATCTGCAGCGGGCCAGGTCGGGCTCGGCGTCAGGATCGGCCGACGCGCGGCCGCGCCGGGCTCGACGCAATATCGACACGACAGATCAGGCTTTACGTCCTCGCTGAACACAGCGGCGGTGCGCGTCGACCAACTGCCGCGGTGGGCTTTGTGGAACGGAAACCAAGTCAACGCGCGGGCAGCTACCAGCGACATCTGCCGCTGGCGGGCGTCACAGCACGAATTATAGGCGAAGACTGTAAATGCCAAGAAAAACAAAACTTATCGCATCCGGAAAACATGCCTTTCTCAACGCCGCACACGCCAACCTCCGCTAACAAGCGCAGGCAGCGCTCACCATCAGGTCGGCGCTGTATCCGCGCATGCGCTCGAGGTTCTGCGGTCCGAGCTCGCGGTGCGGCTCGAACAGGGCGCGCCGCAGCAGCGCCATCCGTGACACGGCGCGGCACTCGTACTTCAGGCATCCCCGCCAGGCAGCGCTGACACGGCCGTCGCCAGACGTCACGTCCACCGGCGGCGCCTGCAGCAGGCTGGCCCGGAAGAGGCAGAGTTAGATGACAGGAATGAAACGCCACTGTGATGAGTATACTATGTGGTGAGACTCGGACGGATAAGCACGGGGAGTGGGACAACCGAGTATTCATGCGGTGTAAGGTAAATGCACAGTAAATCCACCATTACCCCGCTTCCTACCTCTCTATCTAACTCCACAGCCCCGAATTGGTCTCTGAATGCCGTAAGAGCCCAAACACACCCCGGCCGAATCACGAATTCCACGACACCGGATCACGCACGGAGACTGTTGATGGTGACGGCGCACTGTCGGCTGTCTGGCGGAACCCCCACATCCAAGCACCGTAAACACACACCAGCCGTACCCATACCAAAGGTTCATCTATTTTCGTCGAATGGTTCAACGCCATGGTCAGCAGCGTTACGCATGGTTTGTGATTCAGCCTGCATATTCCAGCCGGTTCCATACGCAGCCACCCGGTCGTCAGCGGCCGGTGACCGGGCAGCGTCAGCGGCGCTCGTCGCACCTGCAGTAGGTGGACTCCTTCTCCCAGGAGACGAGACCGCGCCGATACGAGAGGCCCATGTCGGCCAGCGTGCGGTACAACTCGACGGCCGCCTTCCGCTTGCGCTGCTTCATGTGGCCGACCAGCTTGCGGCGCTTGTCCTTGTCCTCGACGCCGTCCACCTGCGGGGCGCCGGAGGCGGGCTGGTGACGCTCGCCGCGCACCCCAACCGCCCGTGGTGGACGCCAGGCGGTTCCGGCACGTCAGAGGTGTGCCGAGGCAACGCACACCACAGGCGACTGTCTGGGCTTGCCACTCCACCGACCGCACTGGAAGTTACGACCCTATACCCAGTGCCAAGTCCATAGTGAACGCAACGGTCCGATGTTGGCGAAATCGGATAGAAAATACTTTTTCCAAGTCATCGGCCAGGCAAAGCAATTCACGTAGTTGGAGCACCCGACCATCACGCCTAGTACAGAAGGCCACAATTATGCGAGGAACACTTACAAACCCGAAAACCTTTCTAGCGTCTCACACGTTGAGCCCATCTTCGCTGCCGAGTCTTCCGGGGCAAGACCTCTGGAATTCGATACCTATCGCTTGAAGCCTTCCCCGACCTAAGTTTCCGCCTAGGTGAGAACACGCTTACGATGTGCACACACACAAACTCTCCACTACTCACACATGACCAAACGCCGACAAACTACCACCACGACTCACGTTGAGTTTGCTGAGCTCACTAGCCGTCTCGCAGATGGTGCCGGTGATGTCACTGAGCGTGGTGACGTCATCCATCAGCCGAGAGCGGCTGTAGACGCCGCGGCAAAGACGGCGGCTGCGCATGTACAGCAGGCGCAGCCGAGCCAGCTGCTCGTGCTCCGGGTACGGGCAGTCGGACACCTGGCCGCGTGGCGCGCGAGCACGGGTCAGCACGACACGGCGCGGCACGGTGCGGCGCGGCACGGCGCGGCCCGGCACGGTACGGCGCGGCGCGGCGAGGCCAGGCGCGGCACGGCACGGCGCGGCCGACCGCGTCAAGGTGCGGCCACGCCCGCCAGACACGCGATTTGAGTGGATTGCTGTGGTGACCATGGTCATATATATGGCAAATATATACGGCACTATATACGGTAAACGTTCCATACGGCACCATACGGCAAGCGTTCCGTTCCTCTTGAAGTAAGTCAAACGGCTGCAGTGTTTTCCCACGATGAGCCACAACCAGACGCGTGCGAGACGACACCCTGTCCCACAAACACCACTGCACCAACGCAGTGCACATTCAACATGCGGGGTACTGAGAGGCGGGTTATCACCGAACCCGCGAAAGGGAGGGACAGAACGCCCACCATCCCAGCCATTTAGAACTTGCTTTGATTTGGGTTCAGACGTGTGTCTGAATCAAGGTTATGGTTCCCTGGTTATGATACCCCGGCAATTGGGGGATCCAGGCACGTGCCAGTTTGGATCAGAGTCCTCGCAGCCAACAGTGGCCATTTCGGGGCGTGATTGGATGAACGCAAACGTCGTAGGAGTCTAATTGGCAAACGTCGGAGGAGACTGAGCTGCCGAAACTTAACCCGCTCAGCGTATCTCACTTAATATTTGTGTGGGCGCTCGAGCCGGGCGCTCACCAGGGGGCGGCACGTCAGCCCTCTCTCGGTCAAGCGCCGCAGTCTGACCCGACGACAGCGGACGGATTCAGAACGGAATGGCACATGAGGACAGAGGGGCGGATAACAATAATAATTACAATCGGACACAAGGAACGGCGCGGAAAGCGGCATTCCCTCGCCGAGCCACACGCCCGGGCTCCACTCACCGCCACCTTGCCGCGGGCGATGTACAGGTTGGAGTTGACGGGCGTCAGCGGCGGCGCCACTTGCTCCCGATCCCAGAGCCCCAGCTGCCGGTTCGCCTCGTCATCGAACGCGTCAGGGTCGACGAGCGCCGGCGCCACCGGCTGCGCCAGCACCGCCTGCCGGCCGGTCCCGCCCGCCATCAGGCCAAGTTGTCGCGCCGGCCGCCAGGTGGCGCGGCAGTAGTGTCGTCACCAGACGCCAGGTGGCAGCAGCTGAGTGGAACTGCTCCATCGAGCGATGACAAAAATGCTCCCCACGCTAACAAAAGGAAAATCTATCCATTGAATCTTTTCCTGGCCGAAAAGCATTTAATTCAAGTATAAGTTAATAGTGAGAAAATGTGTCTGAGTAGGTGGTAGAACACACACCACTACCGCACATGATGAACCTAGGCTGAATGTGGAACCAAAGGTCGACGTTCAAATAACCAGATTGCTCCCTTTTGTGGCGTACCAGCTCCGGCTGTACACATACTAAAATTGGAACGATACAGAGAAGATTAGCATGGCCCCTGGCGCAAGGATGACACGCACAATCGTGAAGCGTTCCACTTTTTCAGTTGGAAAGAAAATTATTCACAGGGAAACGCACACAAACTGCGAGCCGAGATGGACTTTCGCACGGCTGCAGGCCCTGTACCAACTGCCATCAGCTGGCTATCCGTGAACAGCACTAAGCGCCTTCCCAGTTCATACGCACTTTTCGCTCAACTGGCGGCGTACCACAGTGTGACTTCCGCATAACCTGTCTGTCAACATCTCCCACCGCAGCCCGACACAGCACCCGCGCACAGGACACCCCAACCCACCTGGAACTCCTTCACGTGCTTGTGGACCATTCTGTGCGACTTTTTCACTGTGTCCTTCACCGACCAGAAGTTGACGTCATTCCAGCGGGCGATCTTCACGAAGTCCTTCACTTTTTGCTCCACAGGTTTACGGAGAGCCTTGAGATGGCTCTCAACCGCTGCGTAAAACTGACTGTAGTACTGGTAGAGGTTCCACAGCAGTACACAAAGGTCGCCTGTAAACGGCCAGACCGAGCCACCACAGCTGATTAGATCCTGTTGTGTGTGCTCACTTGAAAAACGACACAAAAAATGATCCCGCCCGCCCGGAATTCGGAAAACTTATAAATTACCCTCCAATGTGGCAAAGAGCCAGCATCAACATTTACCACGCTTAAGCCCGCAGCAACCAAGTTCGCCTGGGCCATTCATCCTCAACCGCATTTCATCTGCCTCCCTACTGCATGGTCAGTAGGGGGATAGCCCCCGGACGCCGCCCCTCATTCGCACTCACTGAGACCAGCAGAGAGCCCTTCCCGGACTCCACCTCTCATTCACACCGACTGAGACCAGCAGAGAGCCCTTCCCGGACTCCACCTCTCATTCACACCGACTGAGACCACCAGAGAGCCCTTCCCGGACGCCACCTCTCATTCACACCGACTGAGACCACCAGAGAGCTCTTCCCGGACTCCACCTCTTATTCACACTCACTGAGACCAGCAGAGAGCCCTTCTCGGACGCCACCTCTCATTCACACTGACTAAGACCAGCGGAGCCCTTCCCGGACTCCGCCTCTCATTCACACCAACTGAGACCACCAGAGAGCTCTTCCCGGACTCCGCCTCTCATTCACACCGACTGAGACCACCAGAGAGCTCTTTCCGGACTCCACCCTCTCATTCACACCGACTGAGACCACCAGAGAGCTCTTCCCGGACTCCACCTCTCATTCACACCGACTGAGACCACCAGAGAGCCCTTCCCGGACTCCACCTCTCATTCACACCGACTGAGACCGGAGTAGCGCCACCAGGCTCGGCCGATCGGCTTACTGCGCGAGTGGTCCTTCATCCCGCCCTCGCACATCAGCTGCTGGTGCGAGGCCAGCAGCATCTGAAGCCGGGCCGGGAACTCGCCCAGCGGGCTGGACTCGATGAACTGCTGCAGCAGGCGCGCGACAGCCTCCGGCGGCGCGGCGCTGGCCAGCTGCTCCTCCAGCAGGCCGCTGAGGTGCGGCAGCCAGCGCGACGCCGACACGTGGCAGCTGCCGGCGCAAGGCCGTTACCATACGTGACAGCTGGTGGGACGCGTGGAAGAAGAGGGACGGCACGTGGCCACTGGTGGGACGCGGGGGCAGGAGGACGGCACCACATGATAGCTGGTGGGACGCGGGGAAGGAGCGCGACACCACGTGATGGCTGGTGGGACGGGGGGAAGGAGCACGACACCACGTGACAGCTGGTGGCGCACAGGGCGGAGAGTTAAAGCGCGAGGAAGCTGCCGGGGCGTGAAACACGGAAAGCCAGAACCCGGCCGGGGAGGCCTGGGTCGCGGGAGCCAAGATACGTAACGGACATGGCCAAGACAGACGAGACATGCAAAAGTTGACGGGGCAGATGCCCAAGTGGACGAAACCACGACCATTTCGCTCAAAGTGAAAGCAGAGAAACTATGTGACAGATGAAAGGTCAAGACCAATCAACCCTATCGTTGCATAGATTCTCTACTTAAGAGACAGCTGCACGAGTAATCTGGCAGATAACTCAGCATGGATGGGTCCGCTGGGGGTCCAGTGCGGTCGGCGCCCCACGGGAGCAGCAGCACCCACTTGTAGGCGGTCGAGTCGAGACAGCGCTTCCAGCAGTCCAGCTCCAGCTTCCGCCAGCGCAGCACCAGGTCCGTGATCTCCTCCAGCTGCGTCGACAGCGAGACACCTAGCGGCCAGAGGGCAACACTGACAATAATCCGGCAGACTTCGCTCCTGGCTCACCATGAGCTTGAACCATTCCACCAGTGACAGTATCCACCTGAAAAGCTGAGGCCAATGAGAGAGGTACGACAGGTCTGGAGACGGAGTTCGCATACTAATAGCACACAGCGACTCAACCATGTCGAACGCTGGCTCCACTTCAATGAAACACTCTTACAAGCGGCGCTGGCAGGTCGCTGGTGGCGTCGTTGGTCAGTTACCCTTGTGTGCGTTCTGCTCCCAGTCCTGGGCGCGCTCCAGCACCAGCTCCAGCCCCGTGACGACCTTGACCAGCGGCGTGGTGACCTTGAGCTGGAGCACGCGGTCGATGGTGCGGCGCAGCTGCACCAGTGCCGGGTGCTCGGGCCACGATGCGAGCAGCTTTCCGGCACGGCCGTCCAGCCGCTGCAGCGCGCCGCGACACGACACCACCTGGCGGCCGGGCGGCCAACTGAGGCCGGCCGTGACACGAGCGGTGTGCGAGCACAGCACGTGGCAAAACAAGGTCGGACGTTGCCCTGAGATGACGGCGCGATATGGTCAGAAGAGCGACAACACCCATCGGTCACCGAGCATGCGATGGTGTCCAGGGAGCACGACCAAGCGATCTACCGACAAATTAGGGAGGGGAGGCAAGGTAGCGATGCAGTCACCCGCCAGAAGACACGGAGAGTAAACGAAGCACGGCTAGGGGGAAGGAGGGCGAGATAATCCTAATCCCCTGTCGTGGTAGCGAGTTAAGGACCGACCGCCCAGCCGACACTGGCGTGACCGATGCCAGGATTCCCGACAAACCCGCTCACCCAACCCCGCCCGGGCACGTCTCCGCAGCGGTCGCCAACCAGTCATGCCGGCGGCCGGGCCGGTACCTCGGTGACGTGCGGGTCGCGGTACACGTCGTACGGCTTGTCAGGCGGCGGCGGCGCCAGCGCGGCCGACTCCGGCTCGACGCCGGCCTCCAGCACGCCGGCGGCCATCAGGTGAGCGGCCACCAGCTGACCGTCAGCGTCGGCATCCAGCAGCGACGAGAGCGGCTCATCCAGCGCCGACAGCAGCCGGTACCTGACCGGATACAGGGGCCACACGGTCAGACGCACTGGGATGGACAGAGGCCGCATGGGCGGACAGCAGCCGGTACCTGACCGGATGCAGGGGACACGCGGTCAGACGCACTGGGCTGGACAGAGGCCGCTGGGACGGACGGCAGCCGGTACCTGACCGGACACGGGGGTCACAGGATCGGACGCACTGGGACGGACAGAGGCCGTAGGGAAAGGCGCAACAGGGCGAGATGTCCACGACTCGGGGGCTCGTTAATTCGTTGCAACTGACATTTCGCTCAACGTAGGCAGCTGACGCTGTTTTGAGACACTTCCGGAGCAAAAACTGGTGGAAGTGCATGACTCACTCTCATTAAAATATCAAATATATTCACTGCACATCGACATCCTGCACCAAGCTCTCGCAGCCTGCATGCGAACAAGGACCTGGAGAGCGGCGGGCAGGCCTGCCGCCGCCCTCCAGCATCCGTCAGCGGCGGGCGTCTGCCTGTCCGGCGGCCCACCTCTCGCAGAAGGGTCGGATGAGGTCGGGCGGCTCGGCCACCGGCGGCTCGGGCAGCCAGCGGGCCGCCGCGCATGCGCCGTACGCCTCCCGGTGCAGCCGCCATAGGCTGGCCAGCATGGCGGGCGTCAGTTCAGGTTCTGTCCGCAGGGCGCCGCCAGGGGCGGCCGGCGCCGGCGCCGGCTCTAGGCCGGCCGGCAGCAGGTCGGAGAACTCGCCACTGTAGTCGGGAAACATCTGGGCCAGCTCCCGCGCCGTCTCCGCCTCCTCGGCCGTGTCGTTATTTGCGCAGTGCGTCCTGCCACCGCCCAGCTCGGTCACGAATTCAGACTGGCCATGATACTCCCACACCAACCACAGCGCAGTGATACATGCTGCTGACGGTTCCCATGACAACGCTCCCCGACGCAGAGTGGTCAGGGACAATCGCAACTCAAGCAGCAGGTCTCTGTGGAGACACAAGCAACGTCAATCCTGAAACCAAGGTTTTTTACATTAACAAGCCTTCCCGCCTTGCCACAACGCACAATCAGCACGCGCCGGTCTGGGCATCAATCGGGTCAAAAGGCCGCGGGCGCCGGGCCGTGGGGTACCGGGATCCGTTCGCCACTGACTTGGTCTTGTAGATGCTGTCCTGCTGCTGCTCGCGTTCCCGGCGCCGCTGCTCCTGCGCCGCCCACAGCTGGCGCGCCTCGCGCATCAGCAGACCCACGTCAGCCGTGCTGACGTCGCCGGTCAGACGGAGCTGCGCCGTCAGCTCCTGACAGATCAGCATCAGCAGCCTGGCCGGCACGGGCGCGGACGGTCAAACGGCGGCCGGGACTGAGTGGCAGGGGGCCCCCAACGCGCATCTGCTCCCGAGAGACCGACATCAATAAGCGAAAGGTCTGGATTCACCTGCTCTTAGACTCGGGAGTCACATCCTGCTCCGAACAGCGCGCGGCTCAACGCCTGTGACCGGAGCTCACGGACCGTCCGAGCGGCGGCCAAGCGGCGGCGCTGGAGCGGCCTGAGTCGCCACCCACCTGATCTTCCACTCGGCCAGAAGGTCGGGCTTCTCGGGGTCGCGCAGGGTGGCCAGCAGCGCCCCGACCTCGGGGCAGTGCAGCCGGAGCGGGGCGGGCCTCAGCCAGCTGGCCACGCCCAGCAGCACCGGCTGCAGCCGCTGCAGCACGGCCGGCAGCCGCAGCTGCCGCTGGCGCCGCTCGGCGCTGTGCAGCAGCACACGCAGGCCGAACTCCACCTGGCGGGGCCGGTCAGCCGGTCAGGGAGCGTTCTGAGGGGCCGGCGGCCGCCAGAGAGCGGGCCGTCCACCACCGACCGCGTGCTGACCCGCCCGCGAGTGAACCCGGCTCACGGCCCGGCGGCCAAGCTGTGGTGTCTGAGCAGCACAGAAACACCGTTGGCCAGCCTGGACACCACCACCGCGCTAATGAAACCTAAATATACTCACGGCTCATGTTATTTTTTCAGGCTTGATACCTCTTCATGGTCAGATTCCGTCTGAGCATACCAGCACAAAACCGCTAGGACAATGCAGAACGCCTTTTCATCACGTCACACATTGACCATCATATACAGTTTTAGTCGCAGAATAAATGGCTTGCGGTGTATGGAATTAGGCGAAGTTAGTATTGCATCACATTGTCTGTTTTTGCAATCAAACGCACGCATTTATCTCAGCAGCCTGTCTCGAGCATTATGGCCCGTATCGTCATGCATTTCCACCATGGTACTTACAAGAGCACACCAATTTGTACGCTTTCCCTGATACCACTCAAATTTCGGTGGGTAAGCCCAACCACCCCGAAGTGCAATATAGACGGGAATCCATACCGAAGTCTCACTGCAATCCAGAAATGTCAGGTGCTACCACACTTCCAAAGCGTGGTCCCCGTTCGCGCTTTCGGCAGCGCCACGCTCACACTGGGCTCCACTGCTCAGTTCTAAATTCGAGTTCAAAGATTTATGCCGAGGTATCCACCCAACATTGGTTGTCTTCAATGCTGTTCCGCTTCACCGCCCCCCCCCCCCCCTTTATGTGAGGACTCTGAACTCATATTGCCCAAAAAGGGGAGCTGCAGCTGCATTTAAGAATGACGACAAAACGTGACAAGAAGAATCCATCTGGAACCAGCGAAGCTTAATGTTATCCGCAGCGGCAGACGCTATCTAAATGCTCTGCTTTGTGGCCGCGTGACTTGCACCCCCAGTTCTTTTTTCATCTTTCGTGCTGTGCTTCGGAGGAATGTACAGAAAGCCTCTTCCAGAGAATGTTGTTTACTTGCCACAACACTGTTTGCTGTCATCCAACTTTTGCAAACGCTCAGATCAGCTGTGGCGCCTCGGGCTTCGATGCCATTAACGCCCGTATCCAATTTGCAGTCACTGGCGATAACAGGACCTGCCGCGCTTATTAACAATAAATGCCGCCGGCCGTGCCATCGTATGAGATCATTACATTAAGATAAGACCCCAGGCCCTGTAGAGGTTTCGCTGGCTGCGTACGCCCGTCATGCAATATATATATATTGGTCTGTACTGCCGAAGTACGGCGGCCGGCGCGCCACATTAGCCGTCGCCTGAGCGTCCGGTGTGGTTTTACAGCCTTGGGTCAGCATGGAGCAGCATCACCATAAATCATCATGATGCCCATGTTATGCCATAAATCAAAATGCGCATCTTTAGAATAAAGACACCTTTTTGAATATACTGTCCCACCAATCTGCTCAACGCTGTTGCCGTCTCTGCCCTGACTTACGCCGGAAAAGGCTGTCATGCGGCGTCCTCGCTGCTCGATATATAGGGCATAACACAAACACGCAAAGTGGCAACCAGGGCCCACACAATTTTCAGATAGACCACGTGCAAACATTCCAAATATTCTCACCACACAAAATCGTACCAAAGAACAAAACCACACTTAAATGCGAGATTTCAGTTACATCAGCAATACCGGTACAGAAGCACAGGACTGTCAGCTCAGCACAATCGCAGCAGTCTTCCCGTAGATCAGTTGAAAAAGACGTGGCGCGAGAACGGCCGTGGATGCGAGAAAACCTCGCCGCAGAGCCTACGCGCTTCCACTGCCATGAACGACATACCGGGCAACCAACGTTCGAGAGAGTCTAATCCACAGCACGCGCCGTTTCGATGTAGCGGCCGTGTGCCGCATGCGGTACCGAATATCTCTAGCCACGACGTGCCCGCGCCACTGTCAAAAGCTCGCGCTGTAACAGACCTTCCGAACGCGCTCCTCGTAATCGATCTGTGGTATTCCCAGGTGGCGGCCCGCCCCGCCGCCAATTCACGTGTCGACCCCGCCGCCCGAGACACGTGACAGGACGACACCTGCCGCCGGCGGCCCACGTGACTCCGCGGGACTTGTCACCACCCGTCACAGCCCACGTGGAGAACTAGCTGCGAGAACAGCCCGGTCACGCGCGCCGATCCACGCGTGACCGGGCTGATTGGGCTCAGACACAATCGACTGCATGACATCGACTAACGTGCCGTCTACAACTCGCGTCGCCTGCGCAGCTTTGCGCGACACACGGCTGCGTCAGAAATCGTCGAATACGCCGCGATCGGCAATGTGCGCATTTTGAAAAACGGTGCCGACTACAGAACTCCTACGTAAAAACTGTAGCAAGGATTGCGGTGAGATAAATATCACCCTGTCTTCCAATTCATTTCCATTTTTCCAGCCACTGCTTCCATCACCATTGCTTCTGTGCTTTTCTTGAATAGCCTAGTGAGCTTAGGTCATGCCCTCAGCGTTGATAGGTAAATCCTGGGGAAGTCTGGCCAGCGTTACAGAGTGGAAAGTGTTACAAAAAGTATCAGTGTCACAGCGTGAAATGCTTGTCGGTTGGGCAAAAGGTTGACTTACGTACATTTACACGTGCACAGCCCGCGCCAAAAAACGCCGCAATGCCTCCACCAACAGCTGCTGAGATCAGCTCCGTCAGACCACCGTTCTCACCCTACCTTGTCGACGTATGCACTGCACGATATGATACACTATCAAGCTATCGTCGGGTGGTACGAACATCTTTGCACGTGCTCTTTACTCCTCATTCCTGCAATGGGTGCAATTTGCAAATGCAAATTTAGTGCACGAGCACTGAAGACGGGACAGGAGCCGGGAGGTGAAGACAACACAATGTCCGTCCAATATGCAAAAAGTGTTGGCGGCGATTTCTCGCCTCGCGGGTCCCGCTAAAACGTCACGGCCACGTCATCAATAGTCGCATGAAATCAGCAACATCCCGAGAAAACTCGAACCAAAATGCTTTGAAGTGGGGATCCATTCTGACGGACGTACGGCGCACTACTGAGCTGGCAGGCTTGCAGCACGAATACACTGCAAATACCACAAACACCACTTGATTTAGGACCGGAACGCAAAACTTACAAAATTTCGGTACGTGAAAGACACATTTTGCCGACAGAAATCGAATAAAAAAGAAGTTCAATTTGCTCCGAATTTCAGATAATTATTCAGTGCTGTTAGAGACTTCGAAGTGTGGCTTTTTCTGCTTTTGACGAATTTCGCACGTTGCAGAAGGCTTTTGAACGTTTTCCGTACAACACCACAACCCACTGCAAGTTAATTCCGCCATAT